AAAAAAAAAAAAAAACCAAAACAAAATAATAGGATCTGGGTAGAATAAAGGAGCCCCTGCCTCACAGCCACACTCACGTGAAATTTAGCCTTAGCAGCAGCTAGCTAAGAACAGAATGAGGGCCAGGAATTTAGCTCAGTGGCACTGTGCCTGCCTTACAAGCACAAGGTCCTGAGTTCGATCCTCGGTAACCCCCCAAAAAAAATTCAGAGCAGAATGAGAAATTCTGATGTCTTGCTCCTCCCAGAAAGGTTTCCAGCTGAGAGCTGAGGGAAAAATGAGCCCTGTGTTTTTGGCTGCACTGATCTGGAATGAGTTCTATACTGGGAGAGATGAAAGGAATGGGTCTAGGTCCAAATTCCACAGATTATTTTACTTACTGAGTTTGACTAGATTTTCTTGAATAAAGCTTTGTTTGCTGTGTGACCTTAGGACCATTTTCAGAGACTTTAAATGGTTGATTTTTGTTGTTTTAATTGGAATAACTTTCACCAGTTTCACTGGAATGTGGGTTCACAGAGCTCCTCATACAGTCATGCTAGAAATAGAACTCTATAAACCTTTTAACATACAGTGTTGTTGCTCTTACTTATAATTGTTTAGAGTGGTCATCTACTTGGATTTCTACTTCAGTATATTGTGAGTGGTTTGAAGTCAGTATCCCTAACCTTTATTTCTTGTAGAACCAAGATAGCCCTTAAGAGCATTTTGTATGTTGTGCCCTTTAAAGAAATGTTAGTCACTGACTATGTTACTATCTTTTCTAGTTTGTATTTTCAGAACTTTATTTGTGTTGAAGTGTTCGTGTATTCTTTTTTTTTTATTCTCTAGTGCTGGTTTTTTTCAAGAAGGATGATGATGCTTTTTTAATTTGCTGTTGACCATAGTCAGAAAAAGACACTTGGGCCATGAGAAATTTTAGTCCAAACCATTCATTCTTCACAATATCGGAACTTTCTATACCATTCCTTGCAGTGTATATTTAATTGTAATTCTAGATTAGGCTCCTTATTTGGGAGATGGGAACAGGGAGAGAAGGAAAAGGATGGAGAGAGGGCAGGCAGAAAAGTAATGTGGTCATGCTTTTAAAGGTAAGATGTGCCTAACTTATTCTTTCTTCAGCCAATCATGTTCATGCTTTGACTGTAGCTTCACAACTACTTTTTCCATTCCTGTTCTTCCCTTCTTCCCTCTGGCCAGAAATAACCCTCACTGGCCCACCACCAGTGTACAGTGGACACATCTGAGGCTCTGGCCAGCATTTTACTACTCATTCTCTGTGGCTTGGGCTTTCTCAAAGCTAATATGTGGCCTTTCCCACTCTTTCACACACTGTGTATTGGAAGGTATGGTTGTAATATTCTTTTCTCATTACTCTAGGTGAGTGGTGCTGAACCTATGGCATGTTTGGTGCAGCCAGCTGTTCGTTATCATTGAAAGCTCTAAAAAGTTTGCCATCACTGCTCTAGGTCATTTGAGAATATTCTTGACAGAAATCACTCACTTTGTGTGATTTGCCTGCTGCTGCTTCTGGTATCTGTGAGACAGTGTTGACTGCTCTCTCAGATGAGTATGCATTGCCTGTTTCATTCAGTGTTGTTCTCTTTCTCAGGATGCTCCAGGATGAAACGCCATAGGCCTCTCAGCAGCACTGACAGTTCAGACGAGTGTGAGTAGAACCAGCTGGAAGCTGGTAACTTCTGTGTCTATGCCCCTTTGAAGATTTCTTCTTTAGCTTGATGATAAGCTATTTCATGCTTCCTTCAATGGTTAAAAAATAATGTTTCTTGGAAAGAAAGCTCAGGGTCCACTTTTCTTACTCAAATTCCATTATAGGTAAATTAGGTAGAGATACTAGTTTTGTGTGCTGTTTCTCTTTTCATTTACCTAAAATACAAAAGCCAAATCTAGTAATATTTTAACAGAACTTCTCTAGAAAGAAATAAAAGTACTAGAGCATAAATTGTAGGTCCTGATTCTAATTATAGGTAAGGTACTAAATATTTGACTGTAGGTCAGTCATCATTTGGAAGAGGCTTTAATAATGGCTTCTGGGGAAGTGCTAAAGGATATACATAGTCTTGCTGCACGTGTTTAGTTTTTCCAGTTGTTTTTGCAGATACTTTTCCTCCAGGTGGAACATAAATTGTGTTATTCCAAATATTATGAGGTGGGATTACACCAAATCAAATCTTCCCAGCCTTGGTGCTGTTCAAGTTTGTACTCTAGGAGGTCATTTATAAATGTTGTTCAATTCTATTGTAAAGCTGTCTTGGATACAATTTAACTATTTTCTTCAGTAATATGAGATCTTTGTGGTCTTCTTCATCATATCTTTCATAATTCTCTTGGATGGCATTTCATTTAACGGCATTTAGTTATATTAGTGGGTAATATATCTCAGTATTTTTCTAATTATCTTTTGCAGGTCCTTCCACTTCCTTTACTTCTGGCCCAATGTATAGGAGCAAGTCAAAAATTCCAAAAGAACACAAGAAACCTGATGAGGTGAGATCAGATACTCGATTTTTAGACATAAAAAAACAACCAGATAGCTGCCTCCTCCGTACATACCTACAGTATCCAGAATCTGAACATGTGCAAAGTATAAGTCAGTGGATAGGCTTGTTTTCTGATGAATTTGTTTGTTTTCCAGGAAAGATTCCATTTCTTTTCCCCTTTAAGAAAACAGTAATCTTTATACTAATTTCATTTTGGTGATAAATGCCTAGCCTCAGAATATTCTTCCCCTAGCCAGGGAGTCAAAGAGAGCCAAACTTTATGGGAAATAATATAGCAAGGGATAGGTTAGGAGTTTGTGGATGGAGAAGGGAAGAACTAGGTTAGCAAATTGGGCTGTAGGCTTTATGATGGGTCCTCACAGCCTTTGGAGCACTCCTGGGTCACTTGTTGTGAGTCTGGTCATTTTCTGCTCCAAGGCACTGAAGTGCCGGGCTGTCACTTGGACTTGGTAATGGTTTAATAGATCCTACCAACTTTCCTATGTGACAATTAAATGATGAAAACTGACCCTGTTTATCTTCATTTATACTACAAACAGTCTTCCTTAGCTGTAAAAGAAAAGAAAATGTATTAGTTATCTGTTGCTATATTACAAATGATGACAAAATTTGTGGCTTAAAGCAGCATACTTTCTTAGTTTCTGTGGATCAGGAGTCTGAGAGTTTGACTAGATTCTGTGTTCAGGGTCTTACAAGGCTGCAACCATTTTGCTGACTGGTATGTATTCTTATCTGGTGACTCAGCTTGTTGAAAGAATTCATCTCCTTGTAACTGAAGGACTCTGGTCCTTGTTATCTGCTGGCCTTTTTTGTGCTCCCAGTACTGGGAATCAAACCTAGGGCCTCACAGGTTCTAGGCAAGGGCTCTACATACCCAGACTTCCTGCTGGACAGAGAACCACTCGGTTCCTAAAGGCTGCATGTGCTTCCTTGCACACAGCCAGAAGTTCATAGAACTTCCCAGAACAGGATACCTGACTTTTTCAGAGCCAGCAAGGAGAAAGTCTTCCACTCCAGTCAACTAAGATAGAGTCTTATATAATTGTGGAAGTGACAATTCTGTCCATTTGCCATATTCTCTTGCTTAGAAATAAGTCACAGTTTCCCCTCAGAGATTGCTTTTTATTGTCTTATTTTGCAAAGATCTTTCTAGGCACAGTAGATTAGCAGAGTTTATAATTTTCTGTGTTTATAAGTATGTGTTTGTATACTTACATATGTCTGTGTCATACAGAAAAAAACTTAGGAAATAAAATGCACATAAACAGGAGTGGAAGAAATTCCCTATCTATCCAGAGGAGGGTTTGACTACAAAATGGTGAGAAAGAAACCTTGATATGTTTCCCTGTAGGAGAACAGATGGTACTACAACATAAAATGACTCAGGGACTTTTGGATCCTGACATATTATTGCCTCCAAATTTTTAGGAATAAAAAATATTTGTTGCAAGGGATAGGGGAACCTAGGTTTCTATAAACAGTTTTTTTCATTCACATTTAACATCCTGTAATAAAAGAACTTTGTTATATTTATAAGATAAAACTACCCTTAGTATTAGAAGAATTTGATTTTACATTTTACTTTGTTGGCTTATTTCATCACTCTGAAATAATGTGTTATCCATATAACATGAACGTTATCAAATTTACTTGTATCTACCATTTATTGAAGTTTTTATGTACCAAGAGCTTTACATTAGATAACCTAATTGTTTCCCAAACTTCATCAATTATCAGACTCTCCTTGGATGCCTGTTAAAAATCCTAGAGCCAGGGGTTTAGCTCAGTGGTTCCGCCGCCTGCCTCACAAGCGCAAGGTCCCGAGTTCTACCCTGGTACCAAAAAAAAAAAAAAAATCCTACACACAAGGCCTGGGATTTAGCTCAGTGGTGCCACTGCCTGCCTCACAAGCACAAGGTCCTGAGTTCAATCCCCAGTACCAAAAAAAAAGTTTTACCATACACAGAAGAATTAGTGAATAAATTTGTTGTTTTAAAAAAATCCTATATTCATTTCAGACCAATACTGCTCTGTGGCACTAGTTAATTACTATTTCCAAAGAAGGTGCCTGAGTTCTTGTTTTAAAAATGGCTCTAGTGATTTTTAAGATAGGGGACATTGGGGAGATTATATACTCTTGTTTCATTCCCTCAACATCACTATAAAGTAGGAACTGTCCTTTTTTGTACATGATGAATCTGAGGCCCAGACAGGTTACTTGTCCAGAGTCATACAAATACGAACAGAAATGAAATTGAAGTTTTGTGTTTTTTTTGTTTTTTGTTTTTTTGTTTTTTGATACAGGGTCTCACTATGTAGTTGAGACTGACCTGGAACTCACTTTGTAGCCCAGGCTGGTCTCGAACTCACAGTGATCCTCCTGCCTCAGCCCCCGAGTGCTGGGATTACAGGCGTGCGCCACCATGCCCAGCGAAATTCAAGTTTTGATTCACCCTGAATCCTATTCTTTTGACGAGTACACATTGGGTATACTATGCAGGATACCATAATTGTTAAACATTTGTTGAAACTTTTCCAGTTAAGAAATATGGGGTGGCACCAGTGTTTTCTCATGAGTAGTTATAATCAAAGCTTCTATAATGAGGGTGGAGCAAAACTCCAGAATAGAGAGAACAAATACCTAGAATTGAGCAAGGCCTGGAAACCTAGGCAGAACATATAAGGAACCTTTGGTTGAAGAAGAAAAGTAGAAGTTAATGGAAATTGGCATAAGTGAGAAGCACACACTGCTTATAGGTAAGACTGAGGCCAGACGAAATTAGGTGGAGCCATTATGAATTCTTTTTTCCTATTTGGATCTTGAAACTGAAACAAAAGTAGTACCTTTTGCTACTTTTTTTCAGAGTCTTACTTCTTGTCAGTTTTTGGTTCTCCAGCAGAGCTAAAATGAGATTAGACTTCATTTATTTTATCTCATACCCTTAGCGTTAGATTAAGTCTTCAAGAGTCACCTTAGTCTAGTCTTCTAACTACAATTCATATAAGCTCTGATATAAGAAAACAGATCCCGTTTTAAAAAGTAATTCTAGATATTTGTTTAACCAAACATAGTAAGCTATCAGTCATTTTTAATGTCATTTTCCATTTTTTTTTCAGGAAAATTGAGAATTACTTATGTTGTTTTACTCAGTATTTCTTAAAACCATTGTTTTATCATCTAAAACACTAGTGATCACTTAGATTTAGCATTATTGTTTTTCTGATAAACTTCTATTTGGGAATAATTTTAAGTTCACAGAAGTTGCAGCGATAGAAATGAGAGTTCCTGTTTGTCCCACATTCAAATTCCTTTTCCTTCAGTATTAACATCTTGTATTACTAAGGTACCTGTGTCAAAACTTAAGGCCCAGTGCCCAGGGTTTAGCTCAGTGGTTCTGCCACCTGCTTTGCGAGTGCAAGGTTCTGAGTTTGATCCCCGGTACCAAAAAAAACAAAACAAAACAAAAACAACTTAAAGCCCAGTATTGGTATAGTAACTGAACTCCATGTATTACTGGGATTTTGTCCGTTTTTTTTTTTTTATTAATATCTCCTTTCTGTTCCCGAATGCAATCCAGAGTATCACATTACGTTGAGTTATCATGTCTCCCCAGTCTCCTCTAGTCTGTGGCACTTCCTCAGTTTTCCATTTTTTTATATTGCCTTGACGGTCTTGAAGAGTATTTTTGAGTATCCTGTATAGTTTTCCTCAGTCTAGTTTTGCCTGATGTTTATTTTATATTAGACTGTAATTAAGGTTTTAGAAATACACAGAAATGAAGTAACCTCATCACATAAAAGGCTTAGCATTTGGTTAAGATAATATTTGAGTTTTATCTTTTGTAAAGTTACTGTTTTTCTCTTTCCTGATTCTGTCCTTTGGAAGCAAGTTACTAAGTCTGCCCTAAAATCCAGGGATGTCTGGCCAGGATTAAGCTTCACTTCCTGAAAGGAAGAGTTAGTTAATACATGTTATCTGATGATACTCTATAAAGAATACTTGTCTTCTCCCTGGTTTTAAATTATTTACATATTTATATCACTATGAGCTTACATATATATAATTTATTGCATTACTGGAATTGAGTTATAAATCAGTGAAATCCTCTCAATTCTACCACAGATCTCTAGTTTTTGTTGGTTTGGTTTGCTTTGCTTTGGTTCTGTTCAGTTCAGTTCACTTCATTGACAAGGTCTTGCTTTATAGTCCAGACTGACTGTGAACCCACTATGTAGCCTACACTGGCCTTGAACTCTTGGTTATCCTTCTACCTCAGCCTCCTGGGTGCTGAGAGTATAGGCATGTGCCACCATGCCTAGCTCTTCTCTTCTTTTTTTTTTTTTTTTTTTTTGTACCAGGGATCAAACTCAGGACCTTGCATTTGTGAGGCAGGTGGTGGAACCCCTGAGCTGAATCCCCAGCTCTCTTCTTCTTAATTTGATTTTATAGTGATCATTTTCTAGATTGTTGAGATGAGTGCTAAGATCAATTTGAGATTTTTTTCCCTTTTTTAACATAAGAATTTTAGTGGTATAAATTTCTTTTGAGCTATATCCCATTAATTTTTTTTTCATTTTCATTCAGCTTTTATTAGTTCTTTTCATTAATGTCTCCTTTCTGTTCTCTTGAAACTTCTTTGATCCATGGATTATTTAGAAGTGTGTTGTTTCATTCTCTATTATTTGAAGACTTTGCTTCTTTGTTATAGATTTCTAATTTGAGTTCATTTTTGTCTGAGAAATATGATTTCTTATCATTTATATTTTTTAAGTTTTGATTTATGGCCCAGGATATGGTTTATCTTGGTGAATGTCCCATGGATTCTTGAAAAGACTGTGTATTCTGCTGTTGTTGGGTTTTCTTGGTTTATGATATTCTTTTATATCCTTACCGATTTTCTACCCAGTAGTTTTGTCAATTGTTAACAGAAAGAGCTATAGAAGTCTCCAGTTATATATCACTATGGATTTGTTTAGTTCTTCCCC